TACATAAAGTGTACATAAATGTGACTAGAATTCATTTTCTAAAAAAACAAAAGAGAAAGCTTAGAATTAGGAAATCAGACACTTGATTTTCATTTCTACGAAACAGTGTGGAACAGCTGCAACACACGCCAAACGAAACCTCTCCTAACAACAACACCAAGAGGAAAAATGCTAATTTGAATATTTTTAAGAATTAATACACAGAAATCGGCGCCAACCCTTTTTATTCAGCGTTTTACACTTGTTGGTATTCTCTGTTGTGGTGACGACGCTAGACAGGCGGTGATTAACCCCTACATGATTACTATTATTATTATTACTGAGAGCACGATTATAAAGAGAAGTTTTTGTACAATTGCCATTATGCGGTAATGCTTCCTTTGACTTTAATTCAGATGGCAGCAGTGGACCACCAGAATCAGCTACTTTTAAACCACACCAAATAGCCAGGTCGAAAACAGTTTTAAGATTCTTCTGAGTTAGTGCAGAACACTCCACATAGGCTTCAGCGCCTAGCTCAACAGCTAAACACTCAGCTTTCTCCTTATCCACTGGTTCTTCGCCTATCTTTGACAATTCTAATAAACGTCCAATATCATTGCGTAGATCACAAGCACAACCTATGAGGAGAAATGTAGGACCTGGTATTAAATTAGTAGTGGCAGTTTCAGGTGCGCTTTTTAATCCACGATTAGGGCATATAGAGGATTTCGATTTGACGAGTAATGCCGGTAGACAGTGATCAAGACTTCTTTTGGTATTTGACGATGACGAAGTAGCATTAGTAGTTGTAGTAGTAGTAGTAGGTATACCGAATAATTTTGCTGCAGTTTGTTCAGCGGCGCTGTTAAGAATGATAGGTGCAGTAGCTAGTTCTTTTAACCAAACAGTTTTTAAGGATCTGAAAGACTCTGGTCGAACAACAGAAAAGCATAGTAGAATAACATGTGCATCCAAATATGACAGATGTCTTAAAGATGCAACTTCTTCCTAGAACAGATTAAAAAAGAAAGATGGATAAATCAGAGTTAGTGTTTAACATTTATCACAAAATTTATTTTAATTAATTAAAGTTTTAATCATCAGTGAATTCATGAGGAAAATTATCTTTCCAATTGACTTCACTAAATTGTTTGTATTTTTTGTCAGAATGCATGTAATGAACTAGTGAAACACGTTATACAGTAAGTACATAAAAGTGTATGAAATGTTCTGTTTTAAACACACAGTTCAGTTCACCACCTATCTGATACATGAATACACATAAACCAACTGAAATAGTAGAACTCAATTCCTGTTAAATGTATACAAAGGTCAGTATGTCATTCAAGCGTTGAGGACCAAAATTACGGAAGTAAGAGAGGACGTTAACAATTTGAAATACAAAACAACTGTGTATCAGATGAACAGGCACAGTGAAATCAGTCGAGAACAAGACAACAATTAAAAATATAGAAGTTGTGATAGGAAAAGAAATGTTAAGTATTTACATCGTCAGGAATTCATATCACTTGTGGCTGTCTGTACGCAATTAACAAAACTGACTCTTGATAATTAATCTGATTCATGTTAGTGACTGCCTACAAGACGATGTTAAGTGGAGTTTCAGTGATGAGAAGTCGTGACCAGTGGAGTCCAACCAGTCGGGAGTGAGGACAGATACTCGCCAGCGACGACATTCTGTGGTGCCAGTTGCGCTAAAATCACGAATTGGTAGTCACTGAGTGGGTTGCCGGTGACTGAATGGTCTATGAGCTCGCTTTGTAAGCACGAGGGTTTGAGTCCTAACCCAAGTAGGTGAGTACTGATGATGAGTCCAAAACTAGGACGAAACAACTATCCAATACTCTCTGTTGGCTTTCAAATGGTTCTCTAACTAATGTCAATAAGTTATCTGACTTGAAACAATTCAAATCCTTACGAACGAACTCTTGAAAACAGGAAGTCTATCTACGAAACCTGTTAATTTAAATATAAGTGAGCTTAATAGTTACGTATTTAATGGTTCAGTGTCACACCTGTAAAAGATAATTTGTTACGAAAACAAGTGAACAGAAGATATAGTGAGAAACTTGCTCACAACAACTCGGTCGGTCGGTCAGTTTTCTACATAGAACTTTGCACCGATGTGCGGCAGTTCAAGTCGCCACACTCCCTTCATGTAGCACACAAACCAAGAGAAGAAAGTAGAAGAAATGCATAATATAGACAGTAAACAGAGGTGTGAGACAAAGGAATAGTAATAACGGAGAACAAAACAGTTTAATTGGAAATCATAAGTCACAAGGAGTGGATGCATCTGCATCAGCCATTGAGAACGATTTTGAGCCATGCCACCAATTGTTTCCAACCATTGGTTTTTACCGTCCCGAGGACCCCAACCAGTCTGGAAGTCTACACCTTCCTACGTGCCTTAGGCTAACTGTTGTGGATTTCATTGACTGGTGAAGCCATGTTTTCGTTTGACCGCCGCTAGCTCTTTTCCAGCCTGGCCCTATATCAGCTAACATTGCCCGTTGTCGAGGAAGGCGATGACTAGGCATACGTAACACATGTCCTAACCATCTCAGTCGATATAATTTCACAGTTTCGTCGACTGATTTCCCCGCCTTACCTAGCACTCGACGCCTAACCTAAATACTGCTCACCTTATTATACCACTTCACACGGGAGATAGAACGCAGACACCTATGATCGAACACAGCTAATCTTTTCATGTCTTCTGCTCTCAATGGCCGGGTCTCACAACAACTATTATATATAGTCAATTTAAAAGTGTAGCAGTGCGGTGGTTCCTGTACCAAATACTGAGAAATCACAAAGTGAATAACATCCAACCAAGCTTTCTTTATCGGAATGTCTAAGAAATAATGTGAACATTCTTTTAGTGGATATAATCAGAATGACGAATAACTAGATGGAAATATTATGTAGATTCAAATATCTTTAAACTATATACCACAACGCGATGGTTGAGTCACATATTACTTTTCTAAGGCATATGATTTGATGACAAGTTGACTAAAATATTTTACAGAAATAGGTATTCTACAAATTACACGACAATACTCTAGAAATTATCAAATGCCTGAGCCAGATATGAACTTCAGTCACAGTACATGTGAAACTATTGGCAATAAATCAGTAATCATGGGCTTTGTGAAAATAATTCACGTTTATTGTGTAAGTAATTAAACTACCAGATTATGATTTTGCCTAGATTAGAATAAATAAAAGAAAATCTCTAACTTAACTGTAAAGTGGATTTCAAAGTTTACTGAATAACATGACTATAGTGCACATGAAAGCTTATAAAGAATGTGACAATTAATTATGTAATACGAAATCATTCAAAAAGTACATGAGAAATGAGATATGACTGCCATATGAATGAAAATAACCCATAAACCAAATGTAAGATGATGTTACAGGACTGGATTACACTGACTCCTAGTTTAGAAATAGGGAGTGAAGTGGTAGAGCACGTCGACCACTTCCCTTATTTGGGAAGTTGCATCAGCCAACGCCAGTGGGTTGATCTCTGACGAAATCTCAGCACGAATACAGAGGGCTCGATTCGCATATGCCAGTTTATGCCGTCTCTGGCGTAAACGTGATATCCGGCTGACTGTCGACCAAAGGGCGGGTGTACTGTTCAGCAGTCCACTCCGACCTCCTTTATGGCTGTGAGATCTGGCCACATGAAAATCCTGGCTAGCTGTCTTTGATCATAGGTGCCTGCATTCTATCTCCCGTGTGAAGTGGTATAATAGGGTAAGCAATATTGAGGTTAGGCGTCGAGTGCTAGGTAAGGAGGGAAAATCAGTCGACGAGGCTGTGAAGCTACATCGACTGAGATGATTAGGACATGTGTTACGTATGCCGAGTCATCGCCTTCCTCGACAACGGACAATGTTAGCTGACGGCGGCGGTCAAATCAAAACATGGCTTCACCAGTCAATGAAATCCACAACAGTTGGTTTAAGCCAGCCATGTAGGGAGGTGTAGACTTCCTGGTTGGGGTCATCGGGACAGTAAAAACCAATGGCTGGAAACAATTGGTGATATGGCTCAAAATCATTCTCAATGGCTGGCGCAGAAGCATCCACTCCTTGTGACTTATGATTTCCAATGAAACTATATTGTTCTTTGTTATTACTATTCCTTTGTCTCATCGGTGCAAAGTTCCATGTCGAAAACAGACAGACAGACATAAACCAGTTAAGTGTCTATTCGCCTCCTTTTTAAAGCGAACACTGCAACAACGGTTTCAAATGATACCGACTAAACATGAATACGAACATACACTCGAAGATAAGGCAGTTAAAGCATATCTAAATTATTTCACAGGGGGTTATTTGTGTGTTTTTGGTTATTCAAGTTGTATGTAACTGACGTAGACGTCATAAAGTATAGTGAATTAATCTTATTCTTCTAAAGTTGCTTTCGTTGCGTTATTCACAGTGCAGCTTGTTTAAACTATTCTGAGGTCTGAGAACGAAATCCTACTGCTAGAGGATGTGGGTGTAACAGCAATAAGGTGTTTCCCTTGGATCAGCACGTCAGCAGCTATGTTCCCTTTCACCTCTGAGGAGTAGTCAGAAAAGCTCAACCCCAAAAATTATACATCGCGACTAAGCTTATAGTGATTCTTAATCAGCTGTAGGGTTTTCTGTGAGGACGAAACAGGTCATATATTTGATAGGTTTCGTGCGGTTGTCTGTCCACTGCGCTCTGTGAAGAAGACATTGACTTTCACGGTGTAGACAGTCGAGAAGTAGCAGCAGCCCACATACGCCCATAAGAACACACATGTCTTCTTTTCACCAACCACCATCTTTTTGCTTCCCTTCCACTGTTATTACAACTGAGCTCCATTTAACTCTGTGATCCTTACTAGCGCAGAGGGCTAGTTACAGGACAAATAGTTTAACTTAATTTGTAATGGTGGTAAATTCCAATTAGCTTAAGTGTAAACAAAGTATGTTTTTAAACCACATTTATTGGATTTTTTCAAAACTTTCGCGGTAGCAATTTGACATAAGCGTTCGTAGCAATATTGTATTTCTATTGTAGTATCATAAAATATTCTGTTTGTTAGATTCTATTTCATGAACTGGAGCATAACCACATTAATGTTTTGTTTTTATACAGTGTAGTATGTTATTAGAACAAAAAAGAAAGAATATGGACTAACAATGAATTGTTTAAAGCTTCCGAAAGTTGTATTTATGAATATGGATTACTCAGAAACTTCCTTTTATGCATATTATTCAGCAAATTTAAACATAGTATATATATATATATATAAAGTGACACTGAAGTAACTTTAAATACATCACTCAGAATGTACGTAATATATGTGATTCGACCGAGACTGAGAACGCTTAAAAATAACGAAACTTGATGTCTTGAAAATTTTAATTTACACTTCAGTAATTCGATGCTACCTCACGCTTTTTGAAACATTTCTATACAACTACGAGGCAAATTACCTAAACAATAAGGATTTATAATTCTGAGAAGAAAACTATTTAATTCTATACCATGTATAATTTCAAGCTTAATGAGGAGCAGGAGAAAAGTTGAAATCTACCCTTAAAACAATAGCACAGACTTACTTTCCCACCAGCATCACAGATTTGTAAATGAACAGGGCGTGTATCAGCACAGACTTCGACTGAAAAGAAAAAAGAATGAAAATGATATATTTAAATCAATAATCACCAATACCATGGTTGTTTAAGACATATACAACACAGTGGTCTAATGCAATCGCCCAAATTACTTGTGAGAATATTGGGTATGCTTTAGTCAGGCGCCTCTACAAGACTGGTTTAACTATTCGCCCAATTTTTCAATGCTGTAGATGAATAGGGAGAGACAAATATTAACATAAAACCTAGCACTACTGAGTGATGCTTCAAGCTGTAATACATCATGTCTGTACACTAAATAAGAGAAAGAGAGACGAAGAAATGTAAATGGTTTAGCCTAATGAATAAAAGTGATAATTGTTAGACCAAAGTAACTTGTAAGCTAAAATAAATATCTTCCGTTAATACTGCTTACTCTGACTAATAAGATGAAGCTCAGATTTTTCTAAATTCATGTGACAGTTGGATAAAAATGACAGATACATCTATGAAACAGATTTAAATCTGTAAAAAAAAAGGCACATTTATGGTACTACAGTAATTAGAATCAGTTGCCCTTTACCACTGGTGCTCTACTACTTATTAATGGAGTTTTATAACAGCAAAACAGCCAAGTGGTCCGAAATTACAGGGAAATCAACAAAATCATTGACAAACCGCGCATGAAAAATATACATCAAAAAGTCTACAACGTGCCGCTTCATATAGATACTATGCATACACGTACTCATTCTTTACCATATCAGAGATATTGAACTCATTCCAAATCTACTTTGTCGATTCGTCCCGTTATTTGGAGTTTACTTTTGTCGGCATAAACCTGTAGCCTTACTTACTTACTTTCCCTACTTTACGTCTAGACCACACATAACTTGTGAGAATATTACTCATTACAACGGGTGCTCAGAACTAAATCACCAAGTAATTCAACCCGGTGTAAATAGCAACTCACATGGCTTATAACCCAGTATGCAGTAAACATTCGCCATTTAATTATCTGACTTATATAAGGAGTTCGATAAAACGTACACAGTGATTCTTTGGTATATCCCGAATACTATGAAAATGATGATGGTTACACACCATTTACAACTGTAACGGACATAAAGCAATTCTCAGCAATACACTCGGCTAATTAGTATGCGAATACGTAATATTAGCTGGTATGAATCAAATGGTTGAATATCACTACTCTAGTATGTCATGAAATCGATCATCTAGGCTTTTCTACCAGTCAATGATGAGACGGTTATTGAAGTACAATTTTAAAGCAAATCGCTTTAGTTGTTAAAAAAAATGATTTTTTTAAAACACCATTTGTTTGCTTTTAGAGTTAAATAGAGAATATACAAAGACTACTATCAATAAGAGAAAATAAATCTGCCAGAAAATGTTATGATAGTAACCAAGTTCGTTAATACCACACTGACAAAATCAGCTCCAAATATAACTGTTTTGAGTGTGACTAAAAACTATTTCGAGGGTTAATAATGCTAAATTCTTCAGATCGATTACAACTAAATCTTACACTGACACTGATACAATCATCCTTTCCTTTGGACAGCCGATATTTCTGGCTAGTTCAATGTTTTTAGCTGGCATTCTATGATCCTTTTAACTGATTCGCTCGATATTTTTCCATTATTACTGGAAGAAAGTTATTAGAAAGTAATTCGCTATTTCATGCTAACAGCTAGTATACTACGGTTTTAAATGAGAACAAGTATGAGAGTAAGACACTTGATTCATAGAGGGATAATGACAAAGTCATTTAACCAGGTGAGAAATAGTCTACTATCTGTTATCAGAGCTGGGAGAACAAATTCGTCATTCACATCCAGCATTACGAACTCTTCACGAATAGGAAATTCCTCCCACGTTTTTACTCTCTTTTCGCATTCAATTTTGCCTGTTGAGGTAATATTAAGTCTGTTCAATTACTCACTACCTACAGATCTAAATAATGACACCTTGGACAACTTCATCGAAAATGAAAGAATGAAGTGTTGTTCAGTAATCACCCAATTTTCCATGCCGCTGACAAGCCATACATATTATATTAAGGCCAGCAATGCTATTTGGCTGCTCAAATCTCGATAAGTAGAACAGGGTGTGAACTCCTGATCCAGTGACTGGAAGTTACCCGAAGAGACCAATGAGCCACAGCTTCACAATTAATGCATTGCTATGCAAGATTTTGTGCTTGATTGTCAGCCGAAAACGATGCTAAAGTCTCCAAGCGTTTCTGTTTGTTTGTATCCCAGTAGGTTGACAAAACGTGGTGTAATTTCTCCCTTATCTCCCATTATACATAATTAAGATAGTCAGTTCATATTGTGAGCATCATGGAGAAAATGTACAGTGGATGTGACCAGTATATTAAAATCACCTCATATATATTGAAACAAGCCGAATTACAAGAAGCATAGAACGACATTCTCACACCACAACATTTCGATTCCCTACTGAGACAAGAGAGCTGGGTCAGGATGTAAGAAAATAGCTACTGGTTTTTCATCAAAGGAGCGTTTAAATTAGACAGAGCAATACTACAAACAACAGTGAGGATGAGCGCAGCCTTAAATAAGGATTGTGAGTCGAGGTTATCACATATTTTCCTTTGACGCACCCATGAGTTGTGCTACACACCTGAACCATGCGTTGCACGACGCTGGCATGAATCAACTAAGATCCTAAGAATCAAAGCCAAATAACTGGTCTTCTGAACGTCTTAGGTGATTGTGTATGATATGTTCAGCAGTTGCTGACTAATCGGGGAATTTGCATGCATCTAACAAAACGAATTACTTCGATGTCAGCCCCACTGGGAACATTGTCACTCACTGAGATGCAGGACCATCCTGCTGACAAGTTCAAAATAAGAGGAAGAGCCCATGTTTGAATAACGTAGCATACAATCACTAACTGAAAAACATACGGTACTCAGATAGATAACCTGCATGTAGAGGACTTGTACTGTCAAATTATTAATAATCAGGATATTTTGTAGTTACTTTACATGAAGTTACAGATTAAAGTTAATTTTCAACCATATAACGTAGGTCGGTATATTCCTTATTAATTCATGTGCAATTATTTATTCGTACGCCATAGATACGAAGAAAATAGGAAAGCAAAACCATATAGTGTAAAAATAACTGGCGCGATTTACATGAAGCAATAATCAGTTTATACCTAACACATGATATGCCGTATTTATGAGTTTAACAACAATGTGGTTGACTTACCACAATAGGTATCCAAAGCAGATGGTTTATATTCAGCTGGATAATCATTAGAAGTGTAACTGACGACAAGACTGGTTTTTCCCACCTGCCTGTCACCTATGAGAATACATTTCACTGTAGTGGGCTTTACATGACCAGAGGAATTAACAGATTGGTGAGGATTAACTTCACTGATACGCGGCAAATGAGGTGAGCACCCGCCATCAGGAGGCCTCATCATAACATGTTAGTATCAGTAGTGTTTCCGCGACATATGAACTCTCTTAACTCATTTATACTCGGAATTCCGTAAATAACCTTGCAATCACAATAAAAATCCGACAGAACCGCCAGTTCCGAGTAAGTCATAGTTGCACATTCTTACCTTGAACGATACAAACAAGATCAGATTTAAGATTCAATTATTTAGTGTGAACAAACGAGAACAGAAACTAATGGTAATGCTTATAGCTAGACACCCTTAGTTGCCTAGTTTCTTCTTGAATGTATCAAGCAGGACTCAGGCATAATGGAAAGCGGTTCCGAAAATTTCAGGAAAGTAGGGTTCTCAGATTCAGATTATAAGGATAGAAGACTATTGTTGCATGTTTTAATCCTTGTGATATATGTCTCTGCAGAGATCCATTTTCTTTATGAAAGCGTCCACTGATGGAGCTGTTACTAATGAATTAGGTAAGGAGTCGTTGATCACTCTGTGAGAGGATCTAGATTTCATACATATTTTGTTCGAACTCGGTTTGAGCACCTTCTTGTGATGACCTAGTAAATGTGTCTTAGAAGGAGCGAAAAGGTTTGAAAGGTCGATCTCTGAGTCATCCTCGAATATACGGAAAGCCAAAATGAAGTCATCTGTCCTTCTTCGGTATGATAATGGGAAGAGATTTAAATACTCCATCCTCTTATCATCAGGAAGTTGTGAGACACCACTAACTAATTTCGTTCCTACCCTCTGTGCTCTTTCCAGGGTGTGTGCCTCCTATTTGAAGCATAGACTCACCTCTTGTATTCAGTATTCTAGGTAACGTCTGACATGCTGCACAGAGTACTTGGAACTTTCCTTCGTCTAGTCGTTTGAAAGCCCTTCGAAGTGCCCATAGCATTCGAAAAGTCTTAGCAGCGTCTCGACTACAATTGGTGGTTGTTATTAAGTCACGGCTTACAATAATTCCCAAGCCCCTTTGTCCCTTAACACCTGGCAGTTCTGTGTCCTCCATGGATTACGACGTGTAAGACTTCTGACCTAGGTTCATTACCGCACTTTTATTGGGATTAATTTCAAGATTCCGAAGTTTAGCCCATTCAGCTAATTTATTTACATCGTTTTGTAGTGGCAACCCATCATCGTTACTATTTACGGTTTTCCATATCTGAATAACGTCAGCAAATAAATAGTTAGTGACCGTTATTCATGCTGCCAACAATGACTTTCAAAACTGCTCCTCCGAGAGCTTCTGTCGCTGTCGTGAAATACCGGTGCCGCAGCACTGTAAAAATCTTTCTTTGGATGATGGCCTGACGAAAGAAGCCAGGAAGCAGAGTTTGTAGGGATATTTATAAAATCAAGGTGAAGGCCAGTTTGAACAAATTGCCATTCGATTCAGTGAAGGGAACATATAGTCTCAGAGAAGCTTAAAGAACTTGGAGAATCTGTTGCGTGCTCAGGATCTGAAATATAAAGAAAAAGAAGAGCAGAAGCTGGTTGGTGGTAATCAGGAAGTTTTGAAACTAGGTTTCAGTCTTTTTGAAACTATTCACCAAGGTGTATCTGTCATTAGGACGTCAGAATGCAGTCCAAGATGATTATTTCATACTGGTTTGGACCCGAGGGCTGGATATACCTGCCTCATCTTGTGAGTTATGGTGTTCTTACTGAGACTATTACCCAGTGATGACTGACCCAGGTAGGACTAAATGAGCATGCTGGATTACACTAACTGTAGTCGTCCATCAAAGCGCTTCAAGCTAATCCTCCGATATTGTCGAAGCCTTCGTAACAGTTGTCAGGTCAACAGAGGTCGAACATTTGGGTCCAATCAACTAACAAGAAAACCAAAAGTGAATTCAAAACAGATAAACTGTTCGATAACTTCGGATGCTTGATAATGAAAGTATTTCATCCAAGTGATGCCTGAAGGGCTTTCATTTTTTGTATATATTCAGTTAAGTGAACCTTAATAGCCTCCCAGTGAGAAGTGCATATCTTGACTCTCCGGAAATTATATTTTTTCATGACGTTAACAAATAATATTTGATGTATACTAAGTCGTCTCGTCCAGAAGAGTCGAAATCTATAGGAATGCATCTTAAAACTTAGTCTTTTTCGCACTCATAGTTTGGCTAGTTTGGAAGTGAAATATTGCATGACACTCTCCACCTTCATCCTGTCACATATACCATTACTGCTAGGCACATATGGGCATCATGTTTAGAAGCAAATCAAGATAGCTGAAAAGGGTCCTCATTGTGATGTGCAACTATTCCGTCCAAATTAGAATCCAGACAATCTTCTTAGATCTAAAAACTGACAGTCGGAAAACGGATACACTTGTTGACAAAAGATTATTCACTTTCCATAGAAGCAGGCGAATTTGCATGAAATGCGTGCCATTTTTACGGGCATGTTAACCCTTCTGAACCCGTACCACTAACGTCGGCCCCCCATCGGGAAGAAAACAGACATGGGCTAGTACACACGGAACTATTAATCACACCCAATGACTGTACAAGCATAGGCCAAATAAAAACTTCAACCCAAGTCGCCAACCTACCCAAGCCTAGAACCACGTCATCGTATAGTTTATCTAACAATCAAACCTATTACCCACTGAAAAAATAGATACTAACTCGACAGACATAGGTGAAAAAACTAGCTGCAACACAGGGTTGATATGCCACGCGGAAACAGTGGATGCCGATTCACACTTGAACCTTATTGACGAGCTTAAACACTTCAAACACTACTTCAAATCTCAACTCTACTTAATACTTATTAATGCTAAATCTATCCTTAACAAACTAACGATGCTCAGGGCACACACGCTGGTGTACAAACCCCCTATAATTATTATTACCGAATCCTGGTGCCACTCCAATATACCAGACGAAGAGATAAGCATCGAAGGGTACACACACTTTCACTGTGACAGGAAGAGTGGTAGGGAGGAGGCTGCCTAATGTACTTCCTGAACACACTTACTGTATTACAGCTAGAAAATAGGGAACTCAATGACATGCACGACACCCTATGGGTCAACGTACACTTCAAAAGTGCTACACTACTAATAGGATGTATCTATAGGGCACCTGGCACCTTTAGTGATTACGAGACATAACTTATAAATGTACTGGAGCAAGTATCCACTCTTCCATACGAGCATAAGATCATATGTGGAGACTTCAACCTACCCGAAATCAACTGGGACTTATTAAAAGGGCCAACTAAATACGACAAGCTCCTAGGGACACTGGACATTTTCGGCTGGAAACAAACTGTCACTATCCCTACAAGAGGTGACAATGTACTAGACTTAATATTCTGTCACGATATAAGCCCCCTCTCAATCTTAGTGGGTTCTAAGTTTTCAGGTAGTGACCACAAAACAGTGATGTGTGCTCTGCCACTTCCACTGAATAGCAATGCAGCTCATACCTCCACTTCACAACAAGTGATATAGAGGAACTATAGTAAGGCGAACTGGACCTTAGTAGAATCAGTGCTAAGATCCTCCGAATGGAGCGAATACTTCACTACTGATGACCTCTCGAGAGCTCTGAGCATCTTCTACCACAACTCGAACACATGCTTAGATGCTGTCATCCACTCCAAACACTTAAGCTTTCCCCACATAGGAATTCATTCATAAAACCAGAGGATGGTATGAAACTGAAGAAACTCTCGACAATATTTTGATTTGACACTAGTAACTGGTGTGATGCGTCTAGTCCTCTCTTCGGTGCAGACTGAATTCTATCAGTCAGGTTGTAACGTGGCCACCATTCTAGGTGGCTCGCCATCACGGTGTACATGGTCTGTGATGATATTAGGTGGTTGGAGGCAATCGGCAGGAAGCCCTGGACCTAGGTTTCGTGCTAGTTGGCACTCTTCAGCAAGGCGTATCTGCACCCTTGAAGGAACTCATGTCCCTTCTGAGATTCGAACCCGCGTCACCAAGTATAGTGTTGCAGTCAGAGACGTTACCACTGAGCTATTCGGGCTCGCGATTGACCTCTTAGGAGGTCAATCACAAACAATGTACACCGTGATGGCGAGCTACCTAGTGGGTTCAGCGAAACTACCAGAGGCTTGGAAGAGAGCCATTCTTCCTCCTATTTTCATGGGTGGTGGTTGGCAAGATGCCATGGATTATCGACCACTAGCACCACTCCCACTCGTATCGGAAGCACTGGAATATTCGGCTGATTACAAATCAGGGAGCACCTCGAGAGTACTAACGAACTCCATGAAGTGCAGCATGGTTTCGGGAGAAATGGACCCTGGATGAGGGATCTGCAGTCAGCTTCGAATCATTTGACATCATTCTGGGAATGCTGGGAAGTTAACCTCCATTCCATGTGATCTTCCTTGACTTCGGGAGGCCATTCCACATTGTCCAGCATGAACTTTTTCTTCACAGAATAAGTCAGGCCGGCATTGATGGCCCGCTTCTTTCACCGTCGAAGGGCTGTCCAGACGAGAGGGAATTCTGTACCAAGGTCAACCGTGTCCGATCATCCTGGCTCAGTTCGCCATAAGGAGTATCGCAGGGTTCCATCCTAGGGCCATTGTTTTTTATTTTAATCAGTGACCTGCCATGCTATCTAAACTTCTCATCTCCTCTTTACGTAGACGACGCAGTGATTTGGAGAGTAACAAAGTGGTCATAGGACTTTGATAGACTGCAGGGAGACCCAAAAACTCTAGAAGACTGAGCGATGGTCAATGGTATTACTTTTAGCATTAAAAAAGCGAAGTAGTGCAATTGAGCACTTGTATTCTGAAGAATGTAATTTGTTTCTTGAGTACCGAAAAACTGTTCTGCACAACGTCAGAATGCGACTAAGGCTTAGTTCTAACGAAGGAAATGAACACATGTGTAAGTTACACGGACGATGTAGCGCGGGTATATGCGATCATACACTTTACGCATAGACAGATGCACTCTGACCTGACATTTCTAAGGTTATGCAAAACATGCGCAAGAGCACATCTTCAAGTATTCAATATCACTACTTCGCCGTTGCTCATAAGGGACTCAGACCTTCGTGAAAGATTCCAAAGACAAGCTACAAATGTAGGGATAAGTCTCCAAAATAAATCAAATGATGAAGTGCTGATGAAATGAGGTATTTTCACACTTAGTTACCGTCAGCCTAGGGGTGACTCAGTTACTGCCTATGAGAGTGCAAATGTCTAGAATCACCCAAAAAAAGTATTCTGCCAATAAGCAGTTGTGGACTTCCTCGTGACAATCCGCGAAGGAAAGCTCACCCGAGAGCAAAGATTTAAGTGAGCTCCTATTTCCTTTCACTTCCAGTTTGCCGCCTCTGTAATTCTCTACCGGAATATGTGGCCACTGCACCGATCGTTCAGGCGAAGTCTGGACAATCTTGCAGTGACACGAAGACTGGGTCCAAATGGCCTATTCCCTCAAAACTCACGCACTATTGATGAGTATACACCTAAAACCATCTTTTTGCTCCCAAACATTCTCCCCTGTCTGGCTACTGCAACTATTGATTCACTTATGTTGTTATTACCATTGATATATATATATCTTGCAGATTATACTGCTTAAAACATCGTTTACGGTAAACTAACTAACGTTTTATGAGCCATTTTTATGCTTTTGTGAGTAGCCCACCATATCGACCGAATGTAACGCAACACTCAGTTGTTACGCTCATTTTCAACAAATCCAAACAATAATGATGCCTGGGAATATGTCATATAAATTGTTTTAACTTATGTAGAGTGTGCTTACTGTCATCACCCCATTATCTTCCCTTGTATATATATCTTGTGTTAGTGAAAAATTTAAACATGTCTACTCCATGTGCGCATTATAATCATATTGATGATGCCTGTCAACTGGAGTCCCTCATGCGCGTAAAGTGGCAACATATTATTATAAGACGCATTTATTGTTACATGAGCGAATCGACCCCAAGCTTTATTTGTTTTCCCAAGTGTCTGTAATCCATCCAACGCATACTTGGGTCTTTTTGTTAATGCGAAGTCAATATCTCTGTATTTCTTGATGTGTTCCATTAAATCACTAGTTGTCAGGTTTTTCCCACGAATTATAGATAAAATGACAGCAACCATGTTATTTAACCGTAATTCATGTAATCTAAATATGTCACTTAAATAATACTTATCCATGCCTATACAACTGGTGTGTCCTACATAGGTAGGAATAAATATATATGCAACTTATTATATTATGAATACTAACTATGCTTACTAATTGTATGTGTGCCTGTAAACTGGCGTCCCTCATGTACAAAAATGAGAATATTTTATTATTATATCAGTTTCGAATTTCAGCCACGGTGGCAAATTAGTAACCTGTACGATGAAGGCGGAACTAATCAACTCATCTGAGTTGAGTGGATTCTCACATTATGAAATTTTCTACCATTTTTGCGAATCTCGCAAAGTCAGAAAAGACAGCGATTGCGTGAATCGCATGTTGCGGAAATAAACGCAACACCATTACAACCAACATATTCCCAGCGTAAGTAACAGTTTTCAATGAATTCCACATGACATTTGATTAATAGTGCTAATGGAAGTATCAGGCAAAACCACTGAAAGCTGTTGGCGGCTTTCGTCATTAAATTCAAATTCACACACCTCTACCCTTCATAACTGGCCTTAATATATGACGAATTCATGTTACCGCGATATAATTTTACTTAATTTCCACTCTCCTAAATCAGTTAAGACTGTCAACTAAGATGAATGGGGACAGAAACATTTCGGCTCTTGAAATTACAAAGTGGAATTCAAAGTTTTATCCGCCTAAAATTCACATCCGATAGACACCGAACAATATGTCTGCTATGAACATGAACTGCTGAACCCACAATAAAAACTTAAGAGAATGCCAACTATATAATGTGCTTAGTCCCAGGTGGTGACGATAAACGAGCAGAATTTCAGCAAGAAATTTATATTGGATAGTGAGTAAACAGCTGTTTAGATAAAACTATACATATCTTCATGAAGAAATCGCAAGTGTACCGTGGTAACAGCTGTTGCAATACCGCCTCACTTTCTCTGATTAGACACCGGAAAGTTACTTTGCATTTTGGTAATGAATAAAGCATTTGACAGCACATCATCTGTTCACAATCACAGTGTTATTTGAATTATTTTTCCAATTATGACTTAGTGCGGCACCACCTTTGCATGAAGTAGTCAGCGATCGAAATTGCTTTCAGGAAAAGTTATTTGGTAACACACATGTGTCGGATAGCAAAAGGGATCGCCCCATTCTGCAGGAACAGCATTAAAAAATTTGAAGGCTCGAGATATTTCTGATTTTTATGAGGGCTTAAATCTTTATCTTGAAAAAGATAACAAGGAACGCCTTGACAGATCATGCTTCTACCTTTAAATATATACCATTCACCCAGCCTATTGCTGAGATGCGACCATGTGGGATCTGCTCAGATTTATGGGGCATCTTATAAATTAACTTGCTGTCTATCGTCAGATCTTTTCATACCACTCCACAATGTCTTATCTCATTTATTTTCTGACAACGTCTTTACTTGATCCTCATTTTACTCCGTTAAACTTAACATCTTATAGCTCTTCATTGCTTATTATACCCCTACTCTCTGAAGGGTACGGTTGTGCACTAAATGCACAAAAAGGTATAAAATAAAAACAACTGGCATGAGGATAATTGTATTAAAACCAAAAGTGGATATCATGATAGTTTGTGATATATCTGTAGCATTATACATTGCAAATGAATGTTGTTACCCTAGGGTGTTTCCTTTATTAATGCATTTATTAATGATACTTGCACTTACCTATTTCATTACAATTTAATGATTCGCCTCAGCACTTTAATTTTTCTAAAACAGATTCCAATCCCTTGTAAAAGGTGTACTTACCTCAATACTGGTTGGTTATCGTATGCCTACAACCACGGGATGAAAACGGAACGAAGTCGATTTTCCCGCTCAACCTGGAGGACAACTGTACAATTCAATAACTATACGGCCTAATTCTGAAAATGAGTGTATTATATGTATCGAATATTTAACAGTTAAAATACGATTAACTTGTAGACAATCTACGATTCGATATTATATCATACTTGATCGTGCCTGTAAAAACGGCATGCATTTTCATGTAAATTTGTAAATTTATATGAAATACATTATTATTATTATTAAATAAGACGTGAATATGAATGAAAATAACTGCTGCAAAGCGGCATGTTCCATTCTTGACATGGATGATGAAAGCATTCATAAATTCGAGATAAAGATTAAGCTTACTTAATACTTACTTAATAACAGGTGTCTATTTAGGCTTGCATCTGCAGATTTCACCGAGGGTTTGCATATAACAGAACGATTGATACGAACTTACTGACTTGCAAACCTTTATGCCAAGGAGACTAAGGAAATATGAAACATTAAGTCCTCTCAAAAACATCAAAGGCATTTCCGTCCATCACTTTTCCTCATGGACGCCATTCTTGAAAATGATTAATGATACATTTAAGCGCTTTGGAGTAATAATACAGCATGAAATAACACTGATTTTTTGGCTGTAGAAATGGAAAGCTCAAGTGATATTATGCATTTACGGCAGTTTAGAAGATAAAAGTCCTTATTTTGAAATGGATAAAAGTAGCCTGTGGTATACACGAAAGTGCATTGATAATGAGGTAACAGTAAAGAATATACGGCAAAGTCAAATGACCTTCAGTCAACTAATCATATCTTTCCCTATTACATACGGATGCTGTTCATAATCTTCGTTTCAATTTTCACTCAGATGTTTTAATACAAGCAATACAACAGCTGGTCCTCCTAGACACTACCATTCATACACACGACTACAAAGGTTATTCGCGATTGCGATCATTGGGCTATTTTCTTCATAAAGTCAACCATCTTTCTGAATTAGTAGATCCTACAGGTGGAACTCACACAAATTCTAATGAGAAATTCTGTATCCATCTAAAATAACGTACTAGAACTGTAGATGGTTCCCGATACTTTATGAAATGCAGCCAGTTAGTGGAACTTATGTGTCGAAATTAGTTTGATGTGTCAATAGACACTCCTATTAGAAATTAGAGCCAATTTCTACAGCACATTAGAGATATATGACTGTATTTTACTACATATTTATATAAAAAATACCACTTTTCACCCGGAAGAATATAATTGATTGATCCAAGTTCATTGTACATTGGTGTCTATTCTTTACTGTTGCTGACAATGCTTTTGTATTTACGACAGAATCCAACATTTAAGTGAAGCGTTTTCCCGAGCCAGGAAAGACCTTCAACTCCGCGTTCACTTCTTAAAATTCAAGGTCATCACGTTATGTCTGTTGACCGTAAATTTTTGGATATATTTTGGGAGTTGTCAGCAGATGATGAGTCTAAAAGAGTCAGTGCGGTTGAAAAACTAGTTAACGCTCTTAAGGATAAATCGAATGATGTAAGTTGTTTTCATGAAGCTGAATATTTCAGGTGAAAACCACATATTTCACATATACCAGGCAGAGGCTTGTGAAAGGTCTAAAGTCGTTCGAAGAGTTTACACGGATTAGTTTTGAAAATTGTCTCACACGCCTTTTAAATGATTTTCCATCAGAAACATCTACTGCGGAACTGTTGCAATCAATGCGTGTTCATGTATACTCTTCAGAACCATCTACTAAAAATGTATGTCATTGATTATTAGTTATTAAACAAAATCAGGAACGCTCATCAGTGAAGGCAGCATATTTGGCTTGTCCGAGAGTACTTTGTGCAACGCACAGGATGAATGAGGTACTGATCACACCCTATTTGTTAAGTATTTTTTTACTAACAGGTTGATGAGGAATTCACCAAAATGATGATTCCTCCTATTTTATTGTTGACCAAAAGTGTCCATCACAGGACAGCTGCTTACTTAACAATATCGGAGGTCAGCACTAAGGTGAGTCTTCGGAAATACTAAATATGTTTTTCCTGGCAGGCACCGAAGCATTTCTTTGATACAGACTTAAATGAATTCCTTAAAGCCACGTGGAATGATATGATGTCTTCAAACACAAGCCTAACAGGTGAACTTTTACTAGTCATACTGTCTTTCCAACATCGTTTTAAGGTAACAGATTTTCAAATTTTCTCTGATAGTCACAGAAGCGTCTTCAGAAACTGAATATTCCACTGGTGGACTTTTCCGAGAAGAAATACCGCCGAAAGCTTCTTTTCAGTATTCTCGTGAGTTTCTATTCACTCTGACTTTATTTAGTTAGCACTCTGACGATGATGTTATTGTGAGATTGATAGATGAAGTGGTGAAGCTCAATATGCTTACTGATGTTTGGACTTCCGTAAAAGGTCAGTACTGCAATTAATTGTTTTTTTGCTTTAGTGTATTTATCAAGCATATGTGTTAAGAATTGTGTTTTCGCCTACCTTATCGTTTAGCTTAGATCATATAGTCTCACCCTCAGGTAATTTTTAACAAGTTGTTTTGTATCACATTCCTTATGAACTATGTAGTTGATTGTCCAGTTAGTGAGTGTTAATATGTTGGGGATACCATCGCAGATAATTTTACACTATTCACTTTGGTGGGGACTGAGTAAAGGAACCTTATGATTATTCATTCGGCAGAATTGTCTTGTTGGACAACAGATGTGTTGGATTAACGTCTGTCATTTCATCTTTACTCGCGATATGGCTGAAAGTCAAAATCATGTGGTTTTGCTAGAGTTTTCTATCCTAACTTTATCCGTAGTGTACTCAATGAAACCAGTTGCATAATCTGCAGTTTATATTGTGACGTGCTCAAGTTCTACTGTTCATCTACCTTTAATATAGTGTTTTTCCGGTTCTCTAAATTTAACCGTCTTAATTATTTGTTTATCTGGTATGATATTATTCTATCGTTTGTCTTCTTTTCACAGAGTCTTTATGCTCCAACATCAACGATACCAAAAATACTTTACGATTTCTACAAATAGTTGTCCACATTGTGTGTAACAGTGATGAAAAATCTGCTGAACTGGTCATAAGTAAGGACGTCCTTGATATTTTCAGCATGCAGCTATCGGATTCAAAGTATAAATATTTTAATAGGGTGTCGAATTTGTTAAAAACAATGATTAAGAAAGTTGTTGACTCTGTAAATACTGACAAATCTGTATGTGATTCTTCAACTTCGAATCGGTTATTGGAATTGATTGTTACTAACTGTCCTTTGTTTGATTTCTACTGCGATACTGGCGCTCCTAAGCTATGCCAGGTAAGTGGATTTTATGTTGGATTTATATTTCATACTACAATATACATTTTGGTGACCATTTATTTTAGATATCAACCGTATCATAATGTGAATGTCACAAAATACCTTAGTGTACATAGACCAAAACAGTCAGTAGCGATAATTTAAATATCGAGGATGTATGTGAACGTTGACCATATGATCTATAGTATTCACTCAAAGATGTGTTATAAGTCAACGAGTGACTTAAAATGGTTTTGATGTTTGGCTAGTGTCTTCAAGTACTTCGTGGAATATACACTGCAATTATAATCATAAAATTTACACATTTTTCAATTTAATACCAAGTTCACTTTTAACAGTTTGGAAACATTTGGGCATTGGGTATATAATATTCATTATAATAAAGGTTTTTGTATTTCCCAATGAATGAATGAAAAACAAAACGATATTACTTTTTACTGACGTTTCGCTATTTAATGCCAATAACTTTATCAAAGTAGTAATATTAAACCGGAATTTACAAAATCTCTACATATATATAACAAAAGGTTAAGAGGTGAGAAAATAGACTACTTAGGTCAAGTTAAAGGGACATATTGAAAGTCAAAATAACAATGAAGATCACTAAACCAAATAACAAAGGTAATAGTACATCCGTTATGGTATCAAAACAAAGTTTACTAACTTGATCATCGTTCGTCAATCTGGGGTCATTTTTCGTTGTCAAGTTGGTCAATTGGTATCTGATGCTTACATAATTAGTTGTCTTCAAGAATTTGTTTTTTGGGGACTTGATTTGTTTCAATTTCAATGACTAAATAACTTCACTTAAAGAACCATTAAAATTCAGGGGAAACTGGACAGCTGTTTCTTCCTAGTTTGGGACTGATTGACAGTACGCATCCATCGTTTATATCTTATTCAAATAAGTAAGGAATTATTATGTTGATATAAATATGCCAAGAAGTTGCTTAATTCATGCGGTTCTTAAAACGTAAAGATATTCTTGGCCATCTCTTAAAGCTTCATAAATGTTTTCAGTCAATAGTTAATTTTCTAGATCAATTCTTTTTGAATTATATGCTGCGACAACTCACAGCTACGATGTTTGGAATCCAGTTAGTCAGGACATGTTTCTAATGTACCAGGCTTTTGTTACTATTCCCTTGAGTTCTGAGTGGAGCATAGGGTTCCAACAACACATCTGTACATTGCCCTGTTCTCTGTGGTCCTCTTGAGCTGGCTCCACTATTTCCGACAAGCTCACTCCCTCCTCAGACGATCTCCTCCATGCCACCCGCGGACACATGCCCTAATCATCGTTTCCCATTGAAGTTCCACTCCAGTGATGGTTTGGCGCGCGATATCATCCTGTTGTCTCCTCAACGTGTGTCTATTCCATATCCACTGTCTTCGTTGTATTTGTTGAGCAATAGGTTCATGGATGGTTCGTTTGCAGGCTACTAGCTACACTTATTCTTCGAAGGAAGATGATATTAACTTGGATTCCAGGTCAAAGTTGGTGAAATGGGATTCGAACATTATAATAGTTGTTTGAAAGTCAAATATCTAAGACAGTGAGCTACATATCTACTCATAGATGGTCTATCGTTGACTTAATGTGGACGGTCCTCAGACCAAACAGTGAAACTCCTTGTGTGTGAAACAAGATACTCCCTATAAACTTCAGATGAACTCAGTTTCCCTTCTTTAGTCTTGAAGTACTTGTGAATTATGTGTTATGAGAAGTGATTTCGCAGTATGAGACACACTGAAAACTCTAGAATGTGTAACTCTTTCAACCACTAGTCATACATTATTATTATTCATCCTTCCTTAAGTAAGGCAGATTAAGTTAACCGACTTGATAGTGAAACCTACACGGTTTTGTTATCGAATAATTATCGTTCCCATCATAAATTGGAATTTTTTATGTAATAATCAGCATTTTATTGGAGTAGGAATACAGTTCAGGCAAAGCACCTGCGAATATGATTTTACCTGACCTCAACGTTCAACACCTATGAAAAGTACATTTTTCGTTAAGAATAAATAAAAAAACAGTTTTTTCAAGAGTTAGTTTTCAGGGGGATTTGATTTGTTTCAAGCTTGACCATGGATTGATATCAGTTATAGAACCATTGAAAACCAGGCAGGGAGTAACAAACAGTTGTTTCGTTTTGGTTTGAGATTCATCAGTAGTACGTACCCACTGTGGCCATCGCCTAGTCATCGCTTTCCTCGACGGTCAATGTTAGCTGATATAGGGTCAGGCTGGAAAAGAGCTAGCGGCGGTCAAACGAAAACATGGCACCAGTCAATGAAATCCACAACAGTTAGTTTAAGCCAGACAGCCACGTAGGAAGATGTAGACTTCCTGACTGGTTGGGGTCGTTGGGGCGGTAAAACCAATGGTTGGAAACAATTGGTGACATGGCTCAAAATCATTCTCAATGGCTGGCGCAGAAGCATCCACTCCTTGTGACTTATGATTCTCAATGAAACTATATTGTTCTTCGTTATTACTATTCCTTTTGTCTCATGTCCCTGTTTACTGTCTCTATTATGCATTTCTTCTCTTGCTTTGTGTGGTACATGGAGGCAGTGTGGCGACTTGAACTGCCGCACATCGGTTCAAAGTTCTATGTCGAAGACAGACAGACAGACAGTGGTTCCAATCCAGTGGTTCTCTAACTGACGTCAGCTCGTGATCAGACCTGAAACAAATCAAATCCCCACAAATTAACTCTTGAAGGGCTAGTCTGTTACCCTTTTGGTAGCTAGCTACATGACGAAGTTGCCTGGAGTTCTAGTGAGAGGTCGTGACCAGTAGGATTCACTCAGTCGCGAGTGGGAGGACAAATACTCGCCGATTATATTGATTAGTGGTCATGCTAGAATTACGAGTTGGTTGATGTTCGAATTCATGAGCCATTGAGATATATCCCAGTGGCTGAGTAGTCCAAGAGCTTGACTTGTGACTGGAAGGTCTTGAGTCCGAATCCCAGTGAGTGTGTGCTGGAACCAGGGCGAGACAGCTGTCCAGTACTACGTGGTAGCTTTCACTGGTCCTCATCCGTGGTCGAACTTGAGAAAAACAGTTTTGCAAAATAATGTGTGAAACAACTCTATAACTGACTCATCTTAATGTAAGAGGATTGTTGAAAAATTTACACCCGATTGCCAGGTGGGTTTTGTAACTCAGGTAATAGAGCACTGGAACTTTAGTCTGTAGGCCATTGATTCGAATGTGTACACAAGAAAGCCTTCAGTCATCATTTCCTCAGGTATCACCCTGAAACCAGCCTGTCTGTTTTCAGACCCAGTCCAAGGTGATAACTAGTTTGTATCTGAAAGTGATTTGTAAACGTAATGAGTTCTATTGAAGCGAAACATCCAATGGTTTAGTTTTTGAAGTTAGTTGTGATAATATTTGTTTTTCAATTCCACAGATTATCTTCGAATCTGCACCGTTATCGCTGACACTTGACACTCTTCAGTTGTTTGTCAAACAACTAACGCATGCCTTTGCTAACACTGAAATCTATAACACATCGAAAGCTACAAATGCTAAGACAGATGATTCTGGATACTGTCATTCACCTGATACTGTTCGACTGTTTGTCATCAAATATCTACAAATCATTATGCATACAATTATAAGATTCAGACATGCAGATTCAGGAAAACTGTTTGATGAGATACTCAACTTTTTATTGACGATCGGTTTAGCCTATTCGCATAAAGTTGATATGAGCAATTTAAAAGTACCAATCTCTGAAACTGTTGGTAAAGCCGCTTGGTCGGCTATATTTAGTACACTGGATGGCATGATTCTTCAGACAGCTAGCACCAGCAAGCATTCTGATCCACATCAAGCATCAAAAAATATCTCCAGCCTAGACGTAATTAAACACTTTATAACTCTCATCAAGAATGGGATTTCACAATGCTCAAAGTTTACTGGCAGCAGTGATAATTCTCCTCTAAATCTGGATTCGCTAAAACAGTGTCTTCAACTGCTACAAAAAGTCGATTCTCAGGATCAGTTGGATCAGTATATCTTAATTTTATGCGCCGCTTGTTCTGTCTTCTCTTTCTCCATGCCACATGAAGGTAAGAACTATCATTATTATATCATTTGTTACTTTGGTAATGTCATATTCACCTGACATTTCTTTCAAAACAGTGAATTATCATAAGCGGTTGCCGTAAGTGACTTCCTCAAGGTTATTCGTTAGATTCCTTTGTAAGGAATAGCTGATATAAGTCTGCGTTGTGTGAAGGTTTAGTTGTATGACCGACTAACTGTGTTCAACATAGAACTTTGCACAGATGTGCAGCAGTTTGAGTCACCACACTCCATGCGTCACGCAGAGAAACCCAAAAGAAAGAAAAAACAGAGATTCAAAAGAACAGCAGTAAGTAGAAATGTGAGACTTGCTACAGGACGGAGTTTCCTGGAGTTCTAGTGAGAAGTCGTGACTAGTGAGGTGCATCCATATGTCACGTGTGAAGATGGATGTCCCACCGACGACATTGGTGTTGGGGTCGCACTAAATCACGAATTGGTAGGAGATAGAATTCATGGACTGGTCACTGAATAGGGTCCCAGTGGCTAAAGGGTATACGAGCTTGCCTTGTAACCGGAAGGTCCTGGGTTCGAACCCTGGCGATGGGTGCGTAGTGCCGATGATTCCCAAGCACTAGGATGAAACAGCTGTCCAGTACTCCAATACTGGTTTTCAATGGTTCTCTAACTGATATCAATCCCTGATCAACTCGTAAAAACAAAACTAATCCTTACAAACCAACTATAGAGAAAGAAAAAGAATAGTAATATGGGAGATCAATAGTTTTATTGGGTATGACAAATCATAAAGAGTGAATACATCTGCACCATTGACAACGATGTCGGGCCATATCACTAATTGTTTCCAGCCATTGGCTCCTAGAATCCCCAGGATCCCAACTGTTCTGACAGTCTACACCTTCCTACGTGGCTGGCTCAAACTATCAAAGATTTTGTTGACTGATTCCATGTTTTGGTTTCACCACCCAGTAACTCTTTTCCAACCTGATCCTATGTTAGATAACACATTACCCGTCGAGGAAGATGATGGCTCGGTGTATGCAAACTACATGTCCTAACCATCTCAATCAATTCACTTTCACAGCCTCATCGATTGATTTTCCCTCTTTATCTAACCCTCGACGCCTAACCTCAGTATTACTCATCTTATTATACTACTTAACGCAGGGGATAGAACGGAAAATCCCGTGATCAAAGACAGCTAGTCTTTTCATGTCTTCCACTTCCAGTGGCCATGTCTCACTCACAGACATAAAGGAGGACAGAGTGAACTGCTGAGAACAGTATACTCATCCTTTGATCGATAACTAGCCAGTCGTCATGTCTATGGTAGAGATGGCACAAGTTGGAAAATGTACTATAAGCCTTTTGTATCAGTGCTGAGATTTCGTCACCAATCAATCCTTTGGGGCTGGCTGATGCAACTTCTCGAATAAGTGAAAGTGGTCAATACACTCTACCATTTCACTCCATATTTTTAAGGTAGGAGCCTATATATATATATATATATATATATAGCTCAGTTCTGTGCCATCATCTTACATTTGACAGACGTGAATCATATGCCAAACATTTGTGGATTTCTGTTGGTGTTTAGAAGACTATGAAATTTTTCAGCGTCTTCTTCTAGGAGGACCACATCAGTATGCAATATTCTAAGTCAAGAAGATTATTCCCTGGTAGTAACAAGTCAATCCCTGAGTCGCTAACCTCAGTTAGGATCAATTTCATTAGTAGTACATGTATTATGCAATTGAATAGAAATTGGGGCAGTCAGTGGCAAGTTTAGTTGTACAGTCATGCATATATAATTTTCACTAGGAATTCGCTTTGTTCAACACTGTGAAAACGTGCTCTGTAGTAGTAGTTGTTGTTGTACAGTGTTTGCAAAAGTTGAAATGAGTGTCAACTGGTATGCATTCAGTACTAGGCTACTAGCCACATTTAATGTGTATATATGGAAGTTGGATAGTATCTGTGGTAAATGGGGCATGTTAAAGATATGGAATTAACTGGTCACATATATTTTTGATGCACAAGCTAATTGTTCAAACCTTAACATAAAATTCAAAGTTTATAAAGTTATAAGTACAAAAGGATAGAATTTCATGCTTGTCTCGGTGAGTACGTAGTTGTTGTTGTTGTTCCCTTGGGTTCCTAGTGGAAAATAGGGCTTCAGCTGCACGTCTTCACTTGCTTCTGTCTTCTGCTGTACTTTTTACCTGCATCCATGTTATTCCATACTGTTTCAACTCCTCTTCACACGATCTTCTCCATGTCAGCCTTGGATGTCCCACTCGCCGCTTCCCTTTTGGGTTCCACTCGAGCTATGGCCTGACGCGCGATGTCACCCAGCGGCCTCCTCAGCTCAGCGAGTGTCCAATCCATCTCCACTTTCTCCTACATATTTGTTGGGCGATTGGTTCTTGTTTTGTTTGTTCCCATAGTTTCCTGTTGGTGATTCTTTCCGGTCATCTGATCATCAGTATAGAGCGAAGACAGTTAGTTGTTGATAAAGGTCTGCAACAGGCTGTTGGAAATATTCTTTGTGACCCGTCAAGTTTCATATAGAAGAACTGACTTGACGTTTGTATTGAAAGTCCGAATGTTGTTGTTGATGCTGAGTTGAGTGACGAAGATTTCCAGATTGGTTTCAGGTTGATGAATGTGTTTCTCGCCTTCCCGATTCTCGATTTGACATCCTCGTCCGTCCGTTCCTCCTGTAGTTGAGACAATGCTCCCTAGATAAGTGAATGAAGTAACCTCTTTCAAATCCCTCCCGTTGATGGTGATTGGTGGTGGATTTTGCTGCTGCTGTTGTTGTTGGTTGGTTATTTTCATAACCTCTGTCTTGTCTATGTTCACCTGGAGTCCTGTCTTTGCTGCTTCTTCGACCAGTTTGTCAGTTTTCGCTTGTAAATCTTCGATTTTGTGTGACATCAAACATAAATCACCCACGCGCGAAATCCAGGTCTTCTAGGTACATAGTGATGACCACAAATTAGCCTCATTCAACTTATCTATTTAACTGTTATTTTATACTCTGAGGATATATTTATTAGCTATACATCAGGTCTTATTTCTATCGACTTGAAGTGACTGGTGAGAGTTTGATTTTGCCAATATTATTACGTTATTTAGTCATGTCGCAATGAAGCACACCTGTATATTAGTGCTAGTGATGCTGCCTACATTGCTAAATCTTAATTAGTGGAGCTGGGTTCAGGAAGGCCAGCCTACCAACTGGTTGAAAGTGAAGTAGCTAGGCAAATGAGATACAGTTCTATTCACAGTATGTAATAAATTAAATTTTCACTAGATGTTTGGTTTTATCGTTAGACAGTTGTTGGAGGCAATTGGAAGAAAGCCCGGGGACCTAAGTTACGTTCTTATTAGCACCAGTCAACAAGGCGCATCTGCCAACAACCACGAAACCTAGGTCCAAGTCTCCTTTCTAATCGCCTCCAGACATCCAATCACAACAATTTTGAATACACCATGATGTCAATCCACTCAGCACATTGCAAATTGGACTGACAATAGAATTCAGTCTGCGTCAAACAAAGGACTAGACACACACTATACTAGTTACTGCCTAGTGTCCAATCAAAGTATCCAACACAGTGTCCCATAGAAGGTCAGCCGCGAGCCCAAATAGCTCAATAGTAACGTCTCTGACTGTAGCCCTGCTTGACATGGATTTGAATCCGAGGGGAACATGAGTTTTGACTAGTGTCAACAAGTACGAAATCTAGGTCCAAGGCTTCCTGTTGCTTGCATCTTTAAAGGAATTCATGTCCCCTCTAGAATTCGAACCGGCGTCACCCATTGCTGTAGTCAGAGACATTACAACTGAGCTATTCAGGTTAGTGTATAACAGAATTTCGACTACAGCTTGGTTACTTCATAGAATGTGAGAAAAAAGTATAAATGTTCATTCTAATGTCGAAAACTAGGAACCTCAATTTTCAACCTTAACCAAATAGGATGCTTTTGATTAATTTTTCTTTTGGCTCTATTTCTTTTCTATCTGAAAACAATCAAGGAGTTATTTCTACATGAACTATTTGTCTAACTCAAATTCTTGGGACAGGCTTTTTTGTGCACCAAACTGTGAGCTACACCTTATTGTATGAGGCCTTGTAATAATATTCTATCCAGTAGAGTTACCCAGGGTAAGATAGGTTCAATGGGGGTTCACTTTCAAGAGGCATTAGCTGATTGAGATCTCCCTCGACTCCAGCCAATCAACCATATCTCTCATCATTTCTCCCTGAAGTGTCTAATGAGTGTTTTAAGGGGTGTTACATTATACAAGTAAATATTCAAGTATTGGTTTGTAGGGATTTGGTTGATTGGTTACAGGGTATCATCATGAGTTGACATTGGTTAGAGAACCATTGGAAAACCAGCAGGGAGTACTGGACATCTGTTTCGTCCTAGTGTGGGACTCTTTATCAGAATGCACCCACCACAGGGGTTCGAACCCAGGACCTTCTGGTTACAAGGCGAGCTAACTCGCAGACCATTAAGTCACTGAAACCCGATCCAATGGCCGGTGCATCAGTTCTAACTTCTGCCAATTCACGACATAGCGCAACCACTAGCCAATGTCTTCAGCGAGTATGTGTCCTCACAACCGACCTGCTGCATCCTACTGGTCACGACTCCTCACTAGAACCCCAGGTGACTAACCACCTACCTGAATAGGGCAAGTCACCAGTGAGCATGCCATAGATATTCAAGTGTTGGTTTGTAGGGATTTGGTTGATTGGTTACAGGATTTTCATCATGAGCTGACATTTGGTTAGAGAGGCATTGTTGAATATGAACCATTGAATGAATGAGCCTTCTATATACCCTATCACTTTTTAAATGTTTATTAACCAAAACTGTACTGTTGATGCTCATAAATCTACGATGACTGATACAATCGTTTCTTTATTTCATGCAATTCTTCCCATTAATAAACTTGAACAAAGCAAAAACAAAAATTGTACCAGGATAATATGAGCTCATCTTTTATTATTTCGAGGATTCTTCTCAACTGGTTACAACCTGAACGATAAAAAATATGAATTATATTACATTAAAGATTTGAACATACTTTTCCACGATCACAAGGAGTAATTGGTAGGAAGTAAAAGTAACATTAGTCCGGAATGATTTAACTTATTAAGAGTTACAAACACTGACTATTTAGAGAATAATTCAAATGAACTCTGATCAATATTTGACAGTTTATAAATATTTATAGAAAAATTAAGCAATTAGGCTTGGAAACAAAAACAGAGTTGCATATATATGTGTGTGTATAGAAACAAGGTTTAGCTAGACAGAGCATAACAAAAAAGGTAGATTACGTAACTAAAGAAAATGTTTTATCTAATAGCCAATAGAAAAAAAAGGAAGAGAAAAGAACAAGATAGGGTGAGTCATGTTTACATGAGAGAGTAGAGTTTTCTAAACAAGAAAAAGGTGACTCGTACAAGTTGTATACTTTGTTGTCACCAGGGCAGTGCAAGATTCACCACTGTCCCTTTCTGCGTGCATAGATTTGGTTTAAGTCGTTTGATAGCAATTGCTTCAGCAAAGCGTAGCAAGTTAGGTTTCTTTTGCTTGTTGATTATTTTGAATGACTTCAAGTTGTCTGCATTATGACCAGTGTCTAATAGATGACGCGCAATTGCACTGTTTAATACTTGTGGACCTTTCAGTCTCAGGTTCTTTGGTATGTGTTCAGAAATGCGGACAATAACCATTCTCTCTGTTCTTCCGATGTATGTGCTTTGGCACGTACATGTAAATTGGTAGACACAGTTGGAGGTAACATGAGGTGGGTATTTGTCCACTTTTGATTATCTCAAACAACTAGTTGTTTGATAAACACATACAAGCTTGGCGGCTGGATATGTTCTTTTCAGGGCAGCGTTCAGTCTGCATCTTATTCTACTTTGAGTGCAAGCTGCAGGAAGATAGGCTTTTTCTCTACTGTGCTGCTTTTCACTTTTGTTGGTAACCGTTGTCGCGTAGGCATTTCTCCACAATGGATAGCTCTTCCTCAATGTTTTCTTCTGAACATAGCTTCCTTACACGATCAAATAATGTTCTCACCAATCCTTTTTTGTAACTTATAGGGCAGAAACTTTTGAAGTTAAGATAAACCGCCCTCCAGGTCTCTTTTCTGTATATATATATATATATATATCTCGTTGGTCAAGAAAATGGAACTTCTCCTCTTTTTCATGCCCCATTGTAAATTTAATATTAGGATTGGTGCTGTTCAAGACTTTTAGTACTTGAGATGCATCATCAAAAGAATTACAAATAACGAAAGTGTCGTCGACATACATGGTACAGAAGTTGGTCTAACTGATTGCGGATTTCAGCCTTGTTTGTTCCAGACTACCCATAGAAATGTCTGCCAGAATCGGACCCAGGGGGCTTCCCATGGCGACTCCGTCAATTTGGCGGTACAGAATGTTGTTAAACTGGAACTGTACGTCTTTGGTGCACATAAGTAAAAGTTGTTTGAGTTCGTTCTTGGGTAGAGGAAAAAGTTCGGCATGTTGACATCTAATTTGTATTGTTTCTTCCAATGGGATTTTTGTAAACAGTGAAGACACGTCGAAGGACACCATAAATTTATTTGAGATGCCTACATTCTCTAATTGTTTAGCGAATTTATTTATTTTTTTTCCATTCTGTATAAAGATACTGTGACCCTGATTAGTGATATAATCGAATGTAGAAAAAGGCGTTTAAAGAATGCTGTCAACGAAACTCCACATTGGTCAGAAGTTCTTACAGACGTTATACTAAGTGCTATTTCTTATCCTATTCGTATGTTACGCTCTGCTAGTCGCTTGACTTTTAAAAAAATGATTACAGAGAAAGTATTTGTATTAACCAGTGATCATAATCATAATACCAACAACAACGCGGATGGAAAATATCCATCCTGTTTAAAATTAATTGGTGATATCCTGAAAACGCGACCGACAAAGCGTACCAACAATAATTCGAAATATGATGAAGGTGATTCTGATGAATCAGAAACAGAAGAAGATTTAGTTCAATTTTCAACGAGATTAGTACAATCTGATGAACAGGAGTCAATGATGCAGATTAGTGATTCAGAGGAGACAGTTGATGATGATAAGGGGAATGATGATGATGAAGTGAATCAGGAAACAAGCGGTGATGAAAGTAAGTTTTTTTAAAAATCTTTTTAAATTTAAATATTTCTATAATGATAAATATAGGACACGATTTAAACAAGCAAATACGTGTTTTCGGTAAATTTACATTAGACTTTACATTTACAGCACAATGAAGTCTGTCTGTTTTCGACATAGAACTTTGCACATATGTGCGCCAGTTCAAGTCGCTGGGTGAATGACCACACTCGGGTCTTGTATGCATGTCTCCGAAACACAACATATATCCATGGCTCTAGATTCCGGAGTTCTTGCTAGTGATGCCTGTTGTCCGATTTGGCAGAGGGTCCTGACGTTAAAAGCTCCTATATAAAGTTGGCGACGTGGCTTTAAAAGGCTATCTGGGGTGTTTCTATGGCTCTCATCGTTGTTTGTGGTCGCTGAGTGAAGTGAAGATGACTCACTAGCCTGAAGAATAGTGTTAGCTGTAGTAGAGAAGCAAGATGAGGAAGGTGATGTGAGTAAGGGAGAGTGATGCTCAGGTAGGCTTCGTGTGCTTTTGGAAGTGTGTAGGCGGTTGTTACTTCCCGGCTGCCCACATCGTGGAGGTTGGTTGAGTCTTCGGGAAACTGAAACAGAAAGTGTTGCGTGACCGCAGAGCCCAGGGGACAACTGCTTGAGGCCGGTCATACACGACCTGTTTTTGTTTGGTGTGTCTCGGTAGCATATTTATCACTTCTGCCCTGTGACACGGTAGCAGGAAGCGCGGTCGTTGTTAATCCGGGCCCTGACCGATCCGGCATGATATTTTGTGAGTTTGTTTGAATCATACTATTGGATTGGGTAGCTGCTTTTTGTCTAACCGCTATCCAAACAACCTTTCTGGCATTGGTGGACCTACAAGAACATAATTTCCAACCAGTGTAGCTCGTTGAGTCATTGTGATATGCAAGCCCGACCACCACGTCAAGGTAGCAGCTATCAGTCGGGAGCATAATGAAGTATTAGTCATAGGCACTTGAAGTAATGTGGTTTATAAAATATAGGATCAGAGTTCAGCGATGTGAATTAATGCATAACAATTGAGGTGATCATAATAATAATAATAATGGTAAATTCATTCACGTGTTTGCATAATCTAGGCAACGGTAAGTGTATAGGTAGAATGTGCATACTAGCAGGGGTAGAAGGGAAGATAACTATTGTCACATAGCAATTAGAGCAAGAAATATAAGCGAACAATATTGTTGTTTTCAATTAGATCTTCTTCAGGCTTTACTCTAATTTACATAGATTTATATATAAAAATTTTCAACCAATGACGGTGATTTTGGGAATCAAATAATAATAATAATGTGGTAAATGTTTTGAACGTAATTAATAACGATGATTATAATGATAACAAAATATTGATAATAAGGTTTATGCAGGTGGCGATAAGAATAACAAAGGTAGTAATATATGTATATGTAGACAATTCAATAAATAAATAAATTAGGTCAAATCTTAAAAGGTGAAGTGGACAGATAATCAGAGTTTAAATAAATATCATAAAAGTACGAAGGAGATGGAAAATAAGAAAGGGTGGGAGGGTTTTGAATAGAATTCACCTAGGCAAGCAAGGGGGAGACAAAGGTAGAACAAACTTCTTTTGCTGTATGCAAAGACTAGGATTGTTCTCTCGAATTCCCATAGCTTCGGCTAAATGTAAAAGACGGGTTCTATCCGTTCGAAAGGCTCGATCGAATGCGATAGATAACTTTGAAGGTACTATTTTTGTCCACTTGGTGACCACTATCAATCAATTGAGCCAAAATAGAACTTCGTATAGATTTTATTTTGCGTTTTCCAAACCATGAAGGAAGATGCTCATTAATTCGTTTGTTAAGCTGTCTAGTTGTTCGCCCTATATAGCTCCCTCCACAGGAGCAACTAAATTTATAGATACACAGCTAGGTAACTTGTCTTTCACTGGAGCAATCATAATTGGTTGGCTGGAAAATGACAAACAAAGGCTGCCGGCAGTATAAATCCATTTTATCGCACTCGATAATCCTAGATGTAAGACTTCGCCACATCCCCATTAAATTGCAGTCTCATGAACAGTTGTTTCTTGTTAACCGTTGTCAGTTTCTCTTGATTGTACTTGGTGTTCATGTGTCTCCTTACAAATCTACTAGGATAACCCATTTGGACCAACATATTTTGGATGTATCCTAGCTCATTTTCTAGGGAGTCATCTGTACAGATACGTCTTGCTCTATTCGTGAGGCATCTGACCAAATTGATTTTGTTATTCTTATCGCCACCTGCATAAACCTTATTATCAATATTTTGTTATCATTATAACCATCGTTGTTAATTACGTTAAAAAAATTTACCACATTATTATTATTATTTGATCCACAAAATCACCGTTATTGGTTAAAAAATTTTACATATAAATCTGTGTAAATTAGAGTAAAGCCTGAAGGAGATCTAATTGAAAACAACAATAGTGTTCGCTTATATGTCTTGTTCTAACATAGCGATCAGATAAAAGTAAATTGTGAAACCGAGATTAAAATGTACAACTACAGCACAGCGTCAACAACAGTAACAACAACCAGCACCAATCACCATCAACGGAAGAGATTTATCAGAGGTTACTTCCTTCACTTATCCAGGTAGGAAGCACAGTTTCATCCACAGGCAAACGGCACGGATGAAGATGTCAAAGCAGGCGGCCAGAATCGGAAAGGCAAGATACGCCTTCATCAACATGAAACCAGTTTGGAAATCTTCTCCACTGCACTCAACATGAAGAATAAAATTCGGATTCTGTTCAACACAAATGTGAAGTCAGTCAGTCAGTGCTTCTATATAGGTTAGAAACTTGCACTGCCCGTGCGTCACGAAAAGCATTTCCAACAGGTTGCAGACTTTTAGCAGCAGCTGCCCAATTCGTTAGTTCCATAGTGAAGATCAGATGGCCAACCGGCCGGCCTGAGAGAATTAGCAACAAGAAACTCTGGATGGGAACAAACCAAAAGGCGAGAGCCAACTGCTCAACAAGTATGTAGGAGAAAATGGAAATGGAATAATCGGGCACACGCTGAGGAGGCCGTCGTATGACATCGCGCGCAATGCAGGCCATTGCTCGAATGTAAGGTAAATGGGAAGTAACGAGTGGATCGTCAGTGCGAGAGTGATATGGGGGAGAGCGTGCAAGGAGGAGTTGAGAGATTATGGGCGATCGTGGACCCAGCTAAAGGGGACAGTAGAGAATAGAAGAAAATGGAGATGTGTTGTTGAAGCCCTATGTTCCACTCAGAACCCAAGGAACTAGTAAAAAACACAACACAGCATGGTGTTGATAATACAGTTAGCGATATCATGGTGTGCTGTAGTTTTGGTTTCACAATTTATTATCATTATTATTATATGTGACAATAGTTATTTTCCCCTCTACCCATACTAGTAAGTTTTTCACCAGGTATTTTCTTCTGTATTGCTAGATCTGCTGTTATAACAGTATGTAATTGTTATGTTTCGTGATACCTTGAGACTGAAATAGGGACGCCGAGTTGGACACAGACGCGCTGACCACACATACTACTTGACTGCACCAACAACACTATGCGATAGGTATCTACCTGTTTCTGCGGCCCACTCTACTTGAACGCGAGAACGCAGAGATTTGGTTAGTTATAGAAATTCATCATGATGACCGGACATTGTTTAGAGAACCACTGGTAAACCTGGGAGTACTGGATAGCTGTTTCGTCCCAGTTTGGGACTCTTCATCAGTATGCGCCCGCCAGGTTTCGAACTCAGGACCTTCTGGTTACAAACCAACACTTGAATATCAATCTGTTGCTCACTAGCGACTGGTCCTATATTCAGGTGTGAAATCGTGACCAGTGGCGTACAGTAGGTTGGGTGCAAGGAGAAATACTCGCCGATGACACTGGCGCCATATCGTAAGTTGGCAGAAGTCAGAATTAATGGGTTGGCTATTGGATCGGGTCACAGTGGCTTGATGGCTGATGAGCTGGCCTTGTGACCGGAAGATCCTAGGTTTGAACCTCTGTGGATGCGCAGTGATGAAGAATCCCAGACTAACGAAACAGCTGTCCAGTATTTCCTACAGGTTTTCCAATGGTTGTCTAACCTATGTCAGGTCATCATGATGAATCCCTATCACCAATCAAATCTCCGCAAACCAACACTTGAAATATATTTTGTTTTCATATTTACACATTATTATATATATATCTTCTGAACGAAGATGTCTTTTTATAGTAGCTTTTTTATACTACTTGAAAGTAGTC